ATAATACACTGAAGAAAATTTTGAGCAAGTTAAGATGAAAGCTTTCATTGTTTCAATGTGGACATGCTATCATGTATTAGATAAAACCTTTTCTATTGTGATTATTGTTAAGTGTCATCGAATCAGTTTCGGCTCAATAGCAGCCGTGATTGGTGGTGGTGGTGGTGGTGTGCCGTGGAGTCAGTTCTAACTCATAGCAACTGTGTACAGGGTTTCCGAGGCTGTAAATCTTTACGGGAGCAGAAAGCGTCCTCTTTCTCCCACGAACTACTGGTAGTTTTGAACTGCTGACCTTGAGGTTAGCAGCTTGACTTGTAACCACTATGCTACCAAAGCTCCTTAGCAACCGTGATTACACTCTATTAAAACTCTAATTTATGAAAGTTGTGTCTTCCTGACTCCACTAAGAATAAATATAATGCTTGTTATGTGGTAATATGGTACATGTGAGGAAATGCAGTGTTAATGAATTTTTTTTTCTCTTTTAGGTATAAGCTACTGCATATTTCTTTTTAAGCGCCAAAGTAGCGCTGAATTCATTGCAGAGTGTGAAACCTGACTTTAAGGAGTTCTTTAGAGTTTAAAGGTCTTTAAAGAGTTCTCTCTCATTTTCAATGTTCGGTGAATTTTGTGGGGGATGTATTTAATCCTTCTTCTTCCTAGAACGAAGTCCTGGTGTGGCGCTGTGGGTTAATGTGCCAGACTGCAAAGCCGTTTGAACTGTAAGGTCGGCAGTTCAACCTCACCAGTTGCTCCTTGGAAACCCTATAGAATGTTGCTATGGGTCGGAACCAACTCGATGGCACTTAACAACAACAACAATTTCCTAGAATGAGAATGAATAGTTCCACAGGATAAGCACTGAACTGCGAACCACAAGGTCGACAGTTTGAGATGCTTCAAGAGAGAAAGATGATGCTTTCTGCACCCACAAAATTTTATAGCCTTGGAAAGTCTAGACAGTGTTGCTATGAGTTGGAACTGATTTGAGGGCACTTAACAACAACAGCTTCCTAAAATACGTTTCAATTGAATTTCAGAGTTTCCCACTAATAGGACATACTTACTAATGTCACAGAAATGTAAGTGGTCTACAATCACTACAAGGATAAAGGACATGAAAATGAAGCCACAGTGTTTCTGGACTAATCAGAGAATTAGATCAGTTGTTTTTTTCTTCCATTTAAAACAGCTATTAACATATCTAAAATGGTATTCTAATATAGATTTCATTGGGCAAAACATTTTGCAGGCTCAGAAAATTATCAGGGAAGGTCACGTTAAACAGACACTGGCATCAGAGATGTGATTTCATCAGGGTGCTTGGTAATGACCAAGCTCATCTAGCATCTTCTTACCACCTCCATTGTTGTTAAGTGCTGTTGAGTCAGTTCCAACTCATAGCGACCCTGTATAGGGTTTCCAAAGAGAGGTTGGTGAGTTTGAACTGCCGGCTTTGTGGTTCAAACTGACCTTGCGGTCCAGCACATTAACCTGCAGTGCCACACCTCCATATTAATGCTTTTTTTCTCCACAACTTTGTTTGAAAAAAGTAAAGACAAGTACAGAAATGGAATGACTGCTGTATTTTTTAGAGCATATCTTGTTCTTCCCTGCCTTGACCTTCCTTGTGAAGGTTTGTTTTCTTCCCTCATGATATTTTGAGGACTCAGGAAAACCCACTCACTTCCTGTGTCAGCCGAATGCATCATCTTACATAGAGAAAAACCTAGAGTTGTGTTACAACTACCACCACAACAAAATAAATCCAATCCCTACACACACAGCCTTTACAGAACACAGATTACTGGTTGGAATGCAGAAATCCTGACAGTGGGCAGAGGCAGAATGACACAGAAGGAGGTCTGGACCTTTGCTTCCCTCGAGGGCTACCAGGCACAAGCCCCTCTGAATGGACTGCTGATGGGATACGCAGTGTTTCTGTCTTTTAAAAGTAACCATTCAGAGAGCCTAATTCTGCAATAACCCTTTAGTTCTTTCCATAGATTTTTATTTGTTGAATCATTCTAATTGCACAATTTGTAGTTCATATTATTGAAAAATGAGACTATATTTTTTCCCCCATTGAGTAGATTTCAACTCATTGATCTATATGGCAAGAGTAGAACTGTCCCACAGGGTTTTTAGGCTGTATTATGGGAGTAAGGTTTCAGGTAGTTTCTTCTGTGGAGTTGCTGGGGGTTGGAATCACCGACCTTTTGATAGGCAACTGAGCACTTCACCATTGCCTCACAAGGCTCCTTACTTATGAGACATGTTATTGTTGGTAAGTGCCGTCGACTTGCCTCTGACTCACAGCAACCATCTATAAGGGCTTCCAAGGAACGGCTGGTACGTTTGAACTACCAACTTTGTGACTAGTAGTTCAGTTTTTATCCTACAGAGCCATACCAGAACTCTAAAATATGAGATTGTTGTATTGTTGTCTAGTCAGTTCTGACTCAAAGCAACCCTGTATGGTGTTTCTGAGAAGTTGGTGGGATTGAACTGCTGTGTTGTGGTTAGCAGTTCAGTGCTTAAGCTACAGTGCCACACCAGGACTCCCCCCAAAAATATAGCTAATTTTTTGACTTTTAAACTTCTTCATAAACTTGTTAATCAGTATGAGAAGAAAATGTGGGTTGTTAAACCTGACATATCACACAGGGAAAACAATATATTGAGATATTAGATTATCGTTTCTGTACGGAATGGATCTCAGTTAAGGAAATAAAAAGTTACAGCATGTGCCACTGAGTAACAGTGGTAAAAAATGGTTCCTTTTATCAATCAAGTGAAGACTTTTTATAACATGTATCTTGAATGATACAATGGTGATAAGTGTTCTTTTATCATTTACGTAGAGGTCTTGTGATTAGAATTCAAAACTGTTGAAGGTGGTAAATATGAAAAATTAAAAGAAACATTATTTGTCTTGGTTATTTCCCCCAAGATACTACAATGATACAATATAATATCCTTAGGAAAAGAATTAATTTGGCAAAAAAAGAAGAACAAAGCTAATTTCTGTGGTGGGATTAAAAAATTATTAAAGGTACAAGGAATCAAATGGCATTGGGTGAATCTACTGCAAAGACCTCTTTAAAGCTTGAAAAAGTAAAAATGTAGCTAGGAAGACTGAGGTGGACCTAAGCCAAGTCATGATATTTTTGTACTGCCTGATATGCATGAGGAAGCTGCACAACAGACATAGCTGAAGAACTGATGTGTTTAAAATATGGGGTTAGCATCAAATATTGCATATACCATGGGCTGTTAGAAGAACAAACAAATATGTCTTGGAAGAAGAAGTGCCAGAATATTCTTGGAAGAACTGCGAGACTTTGTCTCATGTACTTGGACATGCAATCAGTGCGACCAGTCCCTAGAGAAGTACAACATGCTTGGAAAAGCAGAGGGTCAACAAGAAAGTGGAAGACCCTCAAGGAGATGGATTGAAACAGTTGCTGCAACAAGAGGCTCAGACATTAATAATGGTGATGATGGCGCACAACTGGGCAGTGTTTTGTTCTGTTGTGCCTATGTAGGGTTGCTGTGAGTTGGAACCACCTCAAGCGGCACATAACAAATGGACCAAACGTCAGTCAGTGATAGATATTTGAGTATTTGGAACAAATTTTTCAAAGCAAAAATATGCCTTATGAGTATATTATTAATGAAATGACAACAGCACTGAATCTAGGCTTATTTTATTAATGCACATAACTGAGTGCAGGAAAAGATACAACCATGTTGGTCAGGCTATGCCGGTTCTGGCCTGGGAAAATAGCAACAGACAATAGAGAGTTTCTTAGTGTAAACAATACTGACTATAGGCTTACAGGGAAACTTTCCAGCACTGTAACTTCCCTGATTCTTTTGCTTTGCTGTAAATACTATATTTATGGGTGCAAGCTGCAGACTCTTAAAATGCAAGATAAGCATTTTCTTTACATACAGCTTAGCAGAAATTTTCTGTGTCCTTTTAAATCTTTGGGTGAGTGTTTTTTTTTTTTTTTTTTTGGAACCATGTGCTTATTTATTTATTTTCTAGTAGCAGCAATCCAACTTAATGCAGCACTGGGAGGGGAAAAAAAGGAGTCTTTTGAAATTTCCTTTCAGAAGTATTTGCAGGTACCACTCATTCATATTTTGCTTAAGTTTGGGTTTAGAATTTTAAAAGGTTCCATGATTGTCACTATTATCTTCCTTATCAAGTATGGTTGTTTCCACTCTGAAGATAACCAAGATAAAGAAAGACCAGAAGATTTATGTATAAAGCTTGCTACAGTTTTATAGAGTCACATTGTATCTGAGTTTAACCTCAGTCCTGTTATTTTTGTGGAAGGTTGATACACGAAGTAAGAGTATTCAGAAAGTGTGTAGTTATGCCACTCACAGCATGCAACAAAAATTGGGTAAGCATGCTTGTTAAAAGAGTCAGTAGAAGCTTCTTGTGTTGAAGAAAAAGATGCATGAAAACAGACTCATTTCTGGCAATTGGATTCACTGGCACAACGTAAATGAACGGTACGATATTGTACCCAAACAATGGTGAAACAAGAGGACTCCTCTTGGTTCAGGTCTTTCAAAAATGCATGTGGGGTGACTAGATCCCCAAATCTCTTAATAAGTTCTCAGTTACCAAAGGCCTATTTCAAAAATACACTATGATTCAATTTTCTCTTTTCTTCATTAACATAATGAAATATTTCTTTTTTCTTCTGATTTTTGACTCTTCCCTCTGCCCCCATCCCCATCCTGGGTACCCAGTAATTCCAGGACTCAGTAATTTTATCCCATTTTTCCATAACTATAAAGTTTGGCTTTCTGGTAACAGGGAGTCTGCGATTGTCTTCTGCTCATCTTCTTTGATGGAAACTCTTGATGAGGAATGCCTGTTGTAAGCACGGTGTCCCTTACCATCAATATACAGCTGGACAGCAAGGCCCACCGCCTCCTTCTCTTGGCTTGTTGGCCCCATCTGGGATACACAGGTCAGGAGCACTTTCCAAGAAAGCTGAGTCACAGGCTTCCTTCACCACAAGTTCAATTATAACACATTTAAGTCCCAGTGCAATAGCAGGTTTTCAGGAAGCAGTGCTTCCCCAAAAGAGCATCAGTCTGTGCTTCCAAATAGTCTTGCATTTCATTATGGACGATGGAACCTGAAATAAGAAACAGAAACTCTGTAGGTCTGTGGTCTAGAAGCACACACTGCAATCAGTGAACTGAACAAGGTACGTCAAGGCAATTTTAGACATTCCACAATTGAATTATGGCTATACATCATCGCTGTAGCAGAAAATGCTTATCAAGGTTAAGTTGGGAAGCAGAGATGAGTCCCCATACAAAAGGTGTTGGTTATATGATTGTTCAATCAATATGCAAAACATCACTATTTTTGAGGTCTGGCCAATATTAAAACTTTTCCAAATTAGAAGTTTCATGAAGGATTTAGTCCCACTTAGTTGGTAGTTGTTGGAGTCCTAGTGTGTGGCATTGTAGGATAAGCAATCGACTGCAAAGCCAGTGTGAACTGCAAGGCTGGCAGTTCAAACTTACCAGTTGCTTCTTGGAAACCTTATACAGGGTTGCTAAGGGTTGGAACCGACTCAATGACACTTAGCAACAGCAGTAGTTGTGGACTTCTGGTGTGCCACTATAAGATAAACACTGGACTGCAAATCACAAGGTCGGCGGTTCAAACCTACCTTGAAAACCCTATTTGTTATTAGTTGGAATCTCGACAGCACTTAAGAGCAGCAGCAATAGTTGGGAGTTATATAAAATGGAAATGGAAACATCATCAACCAGTTTGCGTTTCATTAGCTTCAGCTTCTCATCACGTACTGATAGTTCTAAATCTTTCTAGAACTGAATTTCCAATGTCTTCTGGGCATTTTCACCTAGCTGTTCCACAGGCAAAATATTGAACATGTCCATTACAATTTTTCTTGTCAACCTACCTCTGCACTATCTTGTTTAATGTTTTATCTTTAAAAATATTATTAATCTACATTTTGATCAGAGATTGTAGAAAATATTTCTTATCAAAAGGGGGAAAATGCAGAGAATTCCAAATTTTCATGGAGTCACTGAGGATGGGAGTACCTCTGAAACTGTTGCCCTGAGAGTTTTTAAACCTCAAACCAAAAATACCCACTGAAGTCCTCTTTAAACCAACAGTTGTTAAGTGCCGTTGAGTTGGTTCTGACTCAGTGACCCTGAGCTTGCCTTGAACACTGCTCTTTTGAAGAACTATGTATAGTGGCTCAAACTGACAACAGAAACTCAAGACTCAAGATATGAAACTTAGAGGTCAGTAAGCTCTGGCAGCATAGTGATTACAAATTGGGCTATGAGCCGCAAGGTCAGCAGTTTGAAACTACCAGCGGTTCCATGAGAGAAAGATGAGACAGTCTGCTCCCGTAAAGATTTACAGCCTCGGAAACCCTGTGTAGGGTGTCACTATGAGTCTATGAGTCGGAACCGACTCCACGGCACTTAACAACAACCAGTTCATATTAATGGGGAGAAAACAATTCAGAAAAGGAGGGTGAGAATTGTTACTGAACTCAAATGTCACTGATTTGTCCTCGTAGATGTTGTTGCATTAGTGTATGTTTTGCTGTAGATACTCTTTTTTGCACACCTCAGACACCTTTATTTTGCTCCTGTTAGGTCCTGAATTCCCAGGGAATAGGTTCTAGCAGCTCAGGCTCCTGTCCACTGGTTCTCACAAAGTGCACCTCTCTGGGGGGAGCAGGTTGGCGCTTTAGTTGACCCCAGGTACCTCTCTCTTTGGCTTCCTTCCTTTTCTGATCATTTTCCTTCACTCACTTCAGGAAGCTATCTTGGCTCTTAAGAGTGCTTAATATGCTCAATGCGCACATTGATTCTCTTGGCAAGAATCTTGCCCTTGACTTGCTTGTTCACAACAATGCCAACAGCATGCTGGGTCGCACTGTAGACTCTTCCGGTTTTGCCAAGGTAACATTTGTGGGGTGTGCCTTTTTGAACTGTGCCCATTCCCTTGATGTCCACAATATCTCCTTTCTTATAGATCAGCATGTATGTGGCCAAAGGAACAATCTCATGTTTTCTGAAAGGCCTGGAAAACATAGAGTGAGTACCCTGCCACCTTCTCTTTGTGTTCGTCATCTTGTTGGATTACTGCAAGATGGTGGCTCCAGCCGAAAACGTTATATATACTCTTTTTTTAATTTTCCAAAGGTTTAATGGGAAATAAAAGAAAAGTTAAAAGGGGGAAAAACCCAAAAAAAACCCTAAAAAAAAAAAACCAACAATAACCAAAAAACCCAATTTTTGCAACTTGTTTCTCCCCTTCACCATCTATGTCCCATTAGTCTTGAATACCTGTCTCTGAATTAATTCAAACCCTCTGCTATCTTTTGCTGGTACTACTACAACTGTCTGTGAACTAGTTTCTGATTACTGCAGGTACTTTAGTAACCTACTTTTGAACATGCTTTTCCTGATGCTACACTTTCTTTTCCAACCATATTTCATTTTCAATATCATATTAAAAAGCCACCTTTTCCATAAAGCTTTATCTGACCTATCTCTTTTACCTTCTTCTGGGTTTCCACATTATACGCAACTCAATTTTTCATTTCTGCCTGTCTTTTATAATTTATATGTTTACCTACCCTAGTAACGTAGTCTCCCAATTGCTTTCCCTGTCCCAGCCTCTCTCCATTAAGTATTCTGCTCCACACCATCACCAGAATTATTATAAAACACTGTTCTGATGATTCTAGACCTTTGCCAAAATCATTTTATGGATCCCCATTTCCTACAGAATAAAATGTAAATTTCTTAGAGTGATAGTCAAGGTTTCAGGATGTGGGCCAACTCATGTACCCAGCTAGAGCTTTATCACTCCTCCTCACATGCTCTAAATTCTAGTCAGTTGCCTCCAAAATGCCATTCACTCTTGTGACCATGCTTTTCCTTCTACCCTTACTGGTCCCTCTAACTCACACCTTGTATAATCTCACTCTGTGAGGCCTTCCCCATACTCCTTTATTTTCAGCCCCCTGGAAGCTCTACTTTCTCTTCGCTGTTCTCATAATATTTTGTTTATACAAGTTATCATATCATATAGTCTTTGTACAGGTGGACGTCCACTTTTAGAGCTTAAACAGAATTAATAATCCGGATTCACTTTTACATACAAACAAAATATAATACCTGGCACACAATAGTACTCCATAAAAGTTGCTGTGTTGAAGTGAAACATTGAAAAGCAGAAAGTTAGAGAGGTAAAAACAGATGAAACAAGATTGGTTATGAGTTGAAAATTTGGAAGCTTCATGATGGGTTTATGGGGTTCATGACATTGCGTCTATAATTTTGATTTTCCCCAATTATAAGTAAAATAGGGCAAGCTTTCCAAAGTTGGCAAATATGTCACGACTAAAGGAGAAATGTGTCTGCTTTGAGTTCAATTAGGAATTCTACTTCTGACTAAAACTGTGGACTTACATGCTCTACATAATTAAACTGAGACAATATTGCTATGCTTTAGACACTGGAGGCTTGCTGTCCCTGATCATGCAAACATTTCCCCAGCTCGGGCCCTTTGTGGCAGCTCTTCCCTCTGCACTAGGTTACGCTCTTTGTGGACGGGATGCTCTTCTCGTCCCATAACAATGGACATGTGATTGCTTCTTGTATTTAAATTCTACATTTTATTTCTTTAAGAGTAACTGGTCTTGGACGTTCTATCTATATAAACTCCCTACCACGATCCCTATTGTAACAGCTGGTTATAGTTTTTTCTTAGGACTTAGTTATTGTTAGGTGTTGTCAAGTTGATTTTGACTCTCTGTGACCCCATGTAACAGAACAGAACTGTCCCATAGGGTTTTCTTGGCTGCAATCTTGATGGGAGCAAATGGCCACATCTCACTCAGGTAGAACTATTGAACCACCAGCCTTTTGGTTAGAAGCTGAGTGCCTAAGCACTGTGCCACCAGGGGTCTTTAAAGCACTTAGTACTATCTGATATTATCATCTTTATTTGCTTGTTTACTTGTTAATAGTTTGTCTTCCTCACTAGAATATAAACTAGGTAAGAGTAAGGACATCATCTGACATGTTCTCCATTAATTTCCCAGTGCCTGGAAGTCTGGTCCACTTATATATGGTAAATGTTGAATGCATAAGTAACTAAATACATATTCAGAAACACTCAGAAAGTTAGTTGATAACTCTTTCTATAAATAATTCTAAACTGAAGACTCTTGATATAACTGTACAAAATTAAGCACAATTCGGTTTGAGCCCAGCAGCTTCTCCACAGTAGAAAGATGAGGGTTTCTGCTCCCACAAAGATTTATAGCCTTGGAAATCCTATACAAGGTCACTGTGATAACAATATATGATAACCCACTTAATAGGACATCCAAATGCTTTGTAGGAAGAGTCAACCATACTCTGAAGAGGTAAAAAAAAAAGGAAATCCTACAAAAATATTTTAAAAGAGCAACAGGAAACCTCTTAAATCAAACTTTTTACTTAAAATGAGAGGCAGATAATGACAGCTAATATTTATTAAGGTTTATTATGTGCCTTATGTAAGTCAAAGTGATTACCTCATTTAATTCTCAAACAACTCCCTGAGGTAGGTACTCCAGTGTGTTCATACAGATGTGGAAACTGGGGCACAGGAAGGTTATGTCATTTGCCCAAGGCAGAGAGTTGGTATGCAGGTCGATGCACACAGAGTCTACACTACACCAGCTAGGAGCTCTAAGCTCCTGCCTTCACTTACACTGTTATTCAAAGAGTTTTTGGTACCCTGTGGGTAGAATGGAATGGAAGACATGATCAGTTGCAGTTCTGATCAGTTTTCACCAGAGAAAAATCTTGTCCTACAACCCCAGGCTCCACTTTATTGCTAGAATTGGCTGCTTTTTTCCAGAAAGGAGATGAGAATGGGCTCCACACAAGTTCTCATGATTACTAGGAAAACAACTCTGGTGACTGAGGTCCTGGGATTGAAGCTGGCAGCATCCTGTTCCTCTGTGCAGGACACACTAGTATTGTCCACATATCCCCAGGGAGTCCTGAGAACACAAGACAAATGTACTGGAGCTCCAGAGGCCTCACAAAATGAACGACTAAAAGGCCCTGCTTT